CTTCACTCACTTCAAGACCTATATACACGTTAAGTTGTCTTCTGTGGTTTTTTTTGTCTTTTTGCTTTTTGCTTTTTATTACTTTTTAAAATAAAACTCAGTGTTCACATTTCTATAAAGAAATCAACCAGTTTCGGGAAACCCTGCGCCGGCAGGGCCAGGTAAGCGATGCTTTGCCCTGCCCACATCTGCTTTGATTCCCCGCCCTGATGCTGCGAGGTGCCCAGAAAAGCGGCAGCCCGTGGAAGAGTGTTCTAGGCCCGGCCCGTGAGCCGCCGGGTCAGTGAGCTTTCGAGAAAGCAGAGGGGAAGACTATCTTACTGTGAAACCTTTTTTTAAAAAATATTCATACACTTCAATGTGCGCCTGTCGAGATGTCAGGAAACAAGAGCTTGGGAACATCCCAGCCAGGCCATGGCGAGGCGGCGTCTTCCTCATGCCCGCCTGCACTGGGACGTCGGAGGTGCGCGGGGGTGGGGGACAGTCCTGGCTCTTGGGTTGGAGGCAGGAGCATTGCCCGGCTTCCTAGTTCATGTTCGACTCTTTCCTCTAAAACCTGTGCCGAGTCTTTGACTGCACGGGAAGCACAAACGCTCGACTTGTATGCAAAAAAGGTACAAAAACAACTAGAATATAAAAGTTTTGGTAATATAAGGCCATCTGTTCAAGTCCACCTTGGAAACCTGTAACAGATATTTAAATACTACAGTGAAAAGGCATCTTAATATACTTTTTAAAAACATCTGAAGTAATTTGCTAAGATTAAGTGTGTAAAAAAAAAAAATCAATTCCCTTTGAGGGCACTTTGTCCATTGAAGAAGGGAGGCGGGGAGGGGAACGGGGCCGCTGGGCTAATGCTTCAGCCAGGGGTAGGCTTCGATGGAAGCCCTGCTGCGGTCCCCGTAGTCGTACAGGAGCTCCTCCCCGGCCTCGATGTCGCGGGAGGCGATGAGGATGAGGTGAGGCACGCCGCCGATGTCGTGCAGCTTGGTCTGGCAGTTCCCGCATTTACTGTGATTGATCAGCCTCCCCAGGCGGTTTGTCTCTCTAGTCGCATCCACGCTGGCGGGGAGGGAGGGAGGGAGGGAGACGGAGGGTTAAATTGATAAAAAAGCTTTTGAACCTAGCCAGAGTCACGCTTGCTCTCAACTCTGGGGTGATGGTGATTTACAGCCCCGTCTCTGGGAGAGCAATTCGACTCGAAAAAATATCTTTAGGAGTCCGGGGAGGCGCTGACTAGGGTGACTGAGGCGGGGGAGGCCGCAGAGGGGAACGCAAAAGGCTCTTTGTGGCGGCACCGGAGGCAACTGTGGCATTGTGCGTAATAAACAAATGAACAAAAATCAGCCGTGCTGATACTGGGGGAGGTGTGCGGGGATAGGTGGGAACTCTGTACTTTCCACTCAGTTTTGCTGGGAACCTTTTAAAACTGCTCTGAAAAATATAGTCTATTAAAAAAACAATCAATGACACTGCCATATGGAGAACAGAAGAGTCAGCGATTCCGAGCTGCTGTGGCCAAGTGCCCGGAGAGGGAGCGGCCAGGTGAGCCCCCCAAGCAGGCTTTTACATGACTGGTCCACCTCTTGTCCGACGAGGTGGCATCCTGGACCGCTCCAATCCCCCAAAATAAAAATAGGAAGCGGGGAGAGCTACATCACAGCTTTGAAAACTGGTTAGGTAGCAAGAACTACACAGAAGCGGGAGTGGCAGAGCCAGGATGCCCTCGGGGGCTCTTTGGCTGGACCTATGCCAAGCTGGGGAAACGCAGCTAAGAGCACTAGCAGACTTACCAGTAGGTTTTGCTCAGATACTGAAAATAGTACATGTAGCAGCCCGTGGAGGGGTCTTGTGCGTACAGAGCCTCCCGCTTCTTGGCATCGGTGATCTCAATGAGGTCCCCATGGTATTCCACCACAAACTCGCCCCGGGAGAACTGCTTGGTGGCAATCACACCCCTGCCTTTGCCATCGATGAGGTCAATCTGTTGGGAGGCACCGAGACAGAGCGTTGGTTCATAATAGCAACAAATGCCGCCGAACATGGCCAGCTGCCAGGGTGCCAGAGGTCTGCACTGTGTTCCTTAAACAGCTTTAGTGAGGTAGGTCATAAAATTCACTCATTTTACACGTACAGTTTGATGGGGATGATTAAATGCACCCAGCCGTGCGGCTATTGCCACATACCATCACCCCAAGGGGTTCCCTTGTGCCCATCTGCAGAGCACTGTTACCCTGGGTCCTCATGCGATCTGCTACCTGGGTGCCATCCCCCCCATTTTGCAGATGAGAAAACGGGCTTAGAGAGCTTCCACGCAGGTAGGGAGTGATGCAGCACAAACTCTGACCCCATCTCAGCCCCTCTGGGGGGGCAGCAGGACCCAGTGTTCTGAGTCTCTCCATTACTCCATCACTGACCTCCCGGGTTTCTCCTCACTCCATTATAAACAGAGATTGGTGGGGGATGATTGCTTGAGAGAGCCAGACTTAAACTCAGATCCCTCTAGATGGTGGGTGGAAGCTGAGCTTTCCAACCCCAGGCCCCAAGCCAGATCGACCTGGCCACTGCTGCGCAGTGACTCCCCCTCATCCACCCAATGTGTCCGAAATATACCAAGAGGAAAGCAAATCTCCTGGGCAGGGCCATTTCCCAGCAAAGCAGTTTAGAAAAAAATTATCTTTATCCTTTTAAAAGTTTCCCCAGGCCTCATGCTAAATGAAAGAAGCCAGATACAACAGGCTTCATATTCTCTGATGCCATTTGTATGAAATGCCCAGAACAGGCAAATCCAGAGACAGAAGGGAGACGGGTGGCTGTCAGGCGCTGGGGGATGGGAATGAGAGTGACTGTGCTCTCACCAGGCTTCTGCTTGGGAGGACGAAGAAGTTCTGAAACTAGACAGAGATGATGCTTGTACCACACTGTGAATGTAGAGTGTACTTAATGCCGCTGAACTGAATACTTAACAAATGGTTACAGTGGTCAATTTTATGTCATACATATTTCATCATTTTTTAGAAGCTTCCTCAGGATAACATCTGACATACAAAGCCCGCTCTGTTTCCTTCGAGAGGCATTCCCTTAACGATAGTTTGAGTGTCTGGCCTCTCGACAACCTGAAGCAGCCTGCCTAGTCACAGTGACCATCAGAGGATTAAAGCAGCATGTTGGCCTCCGGACCAGGGAAGGTGCGACTTCACGGCCTGCGCCTCCCTGCAGCCAGCCCTGCTGCCCCATAATTACCTTCATTCCTTCTTCCTTCCCGCTTTCAATCAGTTCATCTATTCTTTTCCTTTCTTCAGACTGGGTGGGGAAGAAAGAAGAAACAAGAGCATCAGCATCCTCCGCTGGCCTGTTCCTGTAGCCCTGGCTCTCCGGGCTGCCCAGTTGTCCTCTGTGGCATCAGTCCCCAAAGATGCCTAGGCTCCCCAGATCCCATCCTCCCCTCATTGCCCATCTAGGGGACAACTCATCGCCTGGGGCTCAACTGGACCAGGAGGGAGACAGAGGTGGCCCAAGGGCAGAAGCAGGCTTGTTGCTGTGTTCTGTGTGGCCCATGCAGTGTTTCAAAAAAACATCTGAATCGCTGACATCTAAAAACCAGAAATCTGACTTCATATAAAATCAGCTATGGCTGCTCAGAGGCTGTGTGCTTTAGACGGGGCATGTGTGTGCTCCATGTCCCTCCCATCTGATGGCCCCGGCAGACATCTCTGTTTAGGATCTAAGCTACGTCTCCACGGAAGCCGCTGCCATGGATGAGGAGAGGGCCTCCCACCCCAGAGTCAACAATGCCAGGAACAGAGAAGCTGTAAAGGAGTGGACACTAGTCTGGGGCCACTCCCCCCTGTTACCATGCCCACCCCTGCCTTGGGACACCAGGGAACCAACAAGAGCTAAACAAAAACAGACAGGAAGCGCCAACCTGGCATGACTCACCAGCGCGGACCCTCACCAAGTAGGACGGCACATATGGGAGTGGCTGGAACAGCAGAGCCCCCTCCCCCACATACACACACACAGAGGTCCACCAGACAGTCTCAAATCCCAGTCCACTCCTCTCCATTTCTATCACGGCCCCCTAGCCAAGCCACGCCTGTGCTTGCCTGGACACCTGCAACAGCTGCCTTGCTGGTATTCTGGCTTTTGACCATCAACCCCCTCCACTCCTGCCCCATTCTCCGCAGAGCAGCCAGAGGGGTCTTTTAAAAATGTAAATGAGATTGTATCTTTTTGCTTGGCCCACACTGGCTGGCTTTTACAGAGGCCAGGCTTGTAGGAACCTCCGGGCCTTTGCACTTGCCATTCCATTGCCTGGTATATCCTCTCCCTAATCCTTTTGCCTGGCTTGCTCCCTCCCTTCCTTCCAAGCTCTGCTCAAAAGGTACCTCCTTGGAGAAACTTCCCTACTGTGGCTAAACTACCTACCTACTGATTTATTAACGAGTGTCAGAGTGCTAGCGAAAATTATCTTGCTTTTCCATTGTTGTTGTTGTTGTTAATTGCTCCCCAATTAAATATACGCTCCATGAGTTCAAGGGCCTGATCTTGCTCACGGTGGAGTCTCCTGGCCTAGAACGGTACCTGGCGATCATAAGCCCTCAAAGCAATGACACAGAGCGCACTGTCACCTTGTTGAACAGTTAATTAGTTACAAGTGTGCCAAGACCAGTGAGCAGAATAAATGTGAGTAATCATGGGAAAGTGGGATAGGCGACGGGGGATTTTCCTGCTCTGACGGAACAGGGCAGAGGAGATGAGCTGAGGAGAATAGGAGCCAGGCCAGATGCCCTGAATATGAAGCCCTAGTCTGGGTTTCGCTCTGGAGTCTCAGGGGTTTGGGGCACGCAAACAACCAGCTCTGAGCTTCCTAAAGAGTTCCGGCAGCAGCCCACAGCAGGGGTGTGGGCAGGGACTGTCTAGGGCCTGACTGGGAAGGGAGCAAGGCCTGCATGAGGGGGAGGGCCTGCCAACAGGAAAGAGGGAGGGATGCAGGAACTCCCGAGCTGGAATCAGCAGGCTGCCCGGCACATCAGGCCAGGGTTGGGCTGGGGATGACGAGGCCAGAGCACTGCCAACAATGCAGTCCCTGCCCCTGTGTGGGCTGTCACTCCACCCACAGCCAAGCCAACCAGCGAAGGGGCCCCCATGGCTAAGAAATGAGGGGTACAGGGCATCTCTCCAAGGCCCAGTTTCCACCCTCCTGTCCTGGCCCTGGATGCTGCCCTGGGCCTGGCCCCGCCCACTCTGTCTTTGGCCATGGCAAGGTGTCTGTAGGGCTCTTTATTTGTTCCACCTCAGCTACCCACATCCTCCTCTTACGTCCCGCCTGCCTGGGCCTCGGTTTTGGCCAGCCCAGGAGGGCGGTCAGGTCAGGCCTGACCTCCCCCTCAGATGAGGCCCAGCTGCCCCACCCCCGGGCTTCACCTCCGCCACCAAGAGAAGGCACCACCCTGCCAGCCACAGCCCCACCACCCCAGCCAACAGCCGCCTGGCTATCCTGGCCTGCGACCACCTGGCCATGGTGCTCTGAGCAGAGCCAACACAAACTGTGAAAGGCAAGCATGGTGCTCCCCGGCCTCTGGCTCGGCGTCCAGCGACAGGGCGAGCTTTATTGTGCCTGCAGACCCAGCTCTGGGGACCAAGTGCCTGCTCCCTTCCACCCATCTGCTGCAAGATTCAGTAGACCCGTGTCATGTCCCACGGTAGCCTTCACTCCTCCGAACAGAAAGGCCCTTTGGGTTTTTTTTTTTTTTTTTTTAATTTTAAAAAGGTAACGAACTACTAGCTGCCCCACCCTGCAGCCCACGGCGGCCCCGTGGGTTGGGACCCCA